TACGTGGGTACTGTAACTGCATTGCATGCACAATAACACATTGTTAAACAGTCATCATAATTGAATCACATCTAACATCAACCGTAATGAATTGATTGTGAGGGTTGGGCAATTACGGTAAATTGAAGGCATGTGTTATGCAAAGCAGTGATAATTCACATGTTATTACTTTAGAACAAAAATAAAATGGCAATATCTGGATATTTTTGTAAAAAAATAGTATGTAAAATTTGTGTTTGTTTCAATTAGTTTGGGGATATTACATCTAGAGTGTATTTATCATAGTTTATACTGTTATTGTTTTTGCTGTTTTGTTGCTGTGAATGTTGAAATTAATGATTATTGTTATTATCTTTATTTATTTCATATTTTATGATTTAAAAACAAATGTGTTTGTTATTATGCATTTTATGTCATGATAAGAAAAAATGGAATGAAGTGAATGTTGATTTTAAAACAAATTCATAAACAAATTCATAACCCTCTCTGTTGTCTGTTGTCTATATTTTAAAAATGTTTCACATTCAACAGAAAGTGCACTAGCTATTTACAGAATGGAATGCTGTATTAGTGTAATTACTCTATGAGGCTTAGTGCAGTTTCTACTCAGCGCGACAGCGACCTGTTAGTATAATTACAGTAGGAGGATTAGAGTAAATTTCCATTTGGCGTGACAGCATTTTAGTATAATTAATGCATGATTTTTAAGCCTGATCTACAGGTTGGCGTGATAGTGGCATGTGGCTGTGATAAAAAATAGTACTTAATAATTCTTTATACACTTCATGCTTTGATAAGATAATATGATACATACTCCCAAGTATCGAAATGCACGCCATCGTGTCGGGATTCAATATTTTGACATTAATTATGTCATCTTCAGGAATTCCTTTTGGGAATCTTAAGCATCAACTCATTGTGTTAATTCCAGATATGGCAATGAAATACCAAGCTACCATATCACTTCACTTATCAAGTTCCTATGGTTAATATAAGGCTTAATTGTGGTTACAACACCATGTCATAAATATTAATGTTCAGTACAATATATCATTTTCATATTTTATTAGATCAACCTGTGGACACCGCAAGATGCTCAGAATTTTGTCATCGCAAAGCGCCCTCACATCGTTCTCAAGGAACATCACTTCCGTGCTATGTACAGGTACTTCGATAAACATGTGAAACCTTTCCGAAAAATGTCAGACGAGGAAAGAGAGAAGAAAAAAGAACAACTGCTGAAGAATCGCAATTCAGTGAGAGTAGATGAAGAAGACAAAAGCAGCTACGAGATAAATAGGGACAGCGTTAAGTCCTAGGCTACCGTAAATAACCAAATAAGTGCTGTGTCATTTTTAAACATTTTTTAGAGGCTTCTGGTTTCTATTCAAGAGCGGCACTTATTACAGGGGTCCTAAGTGTCCCGCATTCCCGCAACCAAGTATGAATCTTCAGAAAGTGACCTATTTTCTGCAAATTAATATTTGCATGATTTGCTACTTTATTATCATTTTCTCACGGAAGTCAGTGCCGATGAGCAGCAAAATGCACAGTAAAATAAAATTAAATATGTTAAGAAAAATTCATTTGAACCAGATCTCCCTAAATAGACTTCTTCCAACTTTGGACTCCTGTTTTTTACAAATTGAATTAAATTACGTTGTTATGGTACTATGTCTTCTACAGCCTATCTGAATTGTTGCAACATTAGAATTAGTGGCAGATTCAAGTTTTTTGAAATAAAAGAAGCCAGGAAAGGGATTTTTAGTTTGTTTTTTTTTACTAGGGGTCTGTACCACCTTTAGCCACACCATTGATTGGGGCTCGAGGTAGGAAATGTTATGGCTATGTCAATGGAATTCTCTGACTTAAATTTGAATACATGCAATATTCTTTTATTCTCCTTTTTTTTTTAATCTGCATTGAATCTGCCCATTAGTATTATTAATTTCATGAGATGAATAGTTAATGATACAAAACATCTAGGCACACTGTAATATACTCTTTACTAAACGCTGCAACGTTATTAAATGTAGAGTATAACAGCTGCACTTTGCAAAAAAATGATGATAGCGACGATTATTATAATGAGGCGCTTGTTCGATAATTTATGATATTAGATGTTACAGACGAAATGTGGTAAATACAACATCAAAATAAAAATGCAGAAATGTATCTTCAGAGTTACACATACTTTTTAAGGGCTTGTCATAATTGTTATCAGAGGCTGATCCAGGAATTTGAAATAGAGGTAGCCCAGAGAGGAGCATTTACAGATGGAAGCTTTATACTACCTCAGCCCCACCATGGTTGGGGCTGAGGTAAGATTAACATTGTATGCTTGTACAGTACATAGGAAAGTACTCTAAATTCCAAGTAGGCATTGATGTAATAATTGATTTCCAGTGACCTACTTTAAATCGTTTCCTATATTCCAATTTTATTGAGAAAAGTATCATAATCAGGGTATTTTTCATTCTGATTATAAATTTCAATATGGTGGTTGCTCTTATAAATATGCATATGATATACAATTTTTCTATACAATGTTGATTCACTATACAATATTATTTAACTTGTTGTATTACACTCTGGTCCTAAAACCTTTTACTAAGGTACAAGTGTACAAAGTGATTCATTGATTAGGGAACTTGCATGGAGATTAGAGTGCGCCCTCGGTAATTATCACGTAAATGCTGCCTTTAAACAAAATGGGGTATTACCTATTTTTTTAATGTTTAGACTACCAGTTTGTCTATCATGCCAACAACGCAATAAAATAATAAAAACTTAAATAAAAGTAGAGAATTTTTTAAATAAAATAAATATAAAATTAATATCAATAATAATTATAGCATAGTATAGCTGTTATTTCTTTTTTAAAAATTACTGAAGTTTAGGTTGGCTCAACACATGTATTTGACTAGGCCTAACAGCAAATATTCTTCGCTGTGTCGTCTAGAAAGCAGGTATGTTTGAGATTTTTTACACATGAACACATACTGGTCCGTATAACGATTATTGACTGCTCGGGGATAGGAAAATTATGTGAAAGGTAAAATGGTGACGTCACGATTGACTAGTTTAATGTACCTACACGACATTCCCAGATAACATAGTATAATACATACTCCAAGTATCGAAATGCACGCCATCTTGTCAGGATTCAATATTTCAACATTAATTATGTCATCATCAGGAATGATGTTATGTAATTGTATGCCGGTTAGAGTTACATAATTGTATGCCGCCATTTATTTGTATAATAAAGATAGCACATAAGGAAACCTTGCAATCTGTAATATACAGTACTTAGTAAGGTACAGAAGCCTGAAATAACACCTTGACATTCTGTATAATTATATGCTGTGTTAACATCTTACCATGCGTACATCTGCTGGTAACCCATGTTTCACCTATGTCTTTTATTCTGTACAACAGAATTGTTAGGTTTTTGTCCGATGGTTTATTCATTATTCTGTTTGTTTATTACATCCCCAACATGACCAATCTTGTCTTGGATAAATTGTATACTGTTATGTTAATCACCTAATAATATAGGCACTGCATGTTGCTTCATGGGGGTAATTGCTATAAATGATAATTGCTCAATTCAAAATACTAAATAATTTTTATTCTATTAACAGCTGGTTATTATTTGAAGCAGCAAGGTTTATATTGGACATTTATTATATTATTAATATTACTCATTTTTCACTTGAGTACTATTAATCACAATTATATTATAAAGTATATTTTTAATGGAACCATTTAAATAGATAATAATTATTATATAAATACTGCCTGGAATATTTGATGGGATAACGACTAGCTGTGTTTAACACATTTGCCCACAACACCAAACATTAAGAAATTTATCTGCTAGTATAAATATTTTTTACCAAGTAAAATATAACTCTTGAAATTAAATAATGAGAGGAACATTTATAAAGGTTTTAGGTAATTATTTAAACTTTATTGAATGTCATCATGCTCAGGCCAAAAATTGTGTTGGATCAAGGTCGGTCTGTCAGTATTTTTTAGTGTTATAGGCCAAGGCCTAATTTTACAATGTGGGGATTTTTTTTTTTTAAATTACCTGGGGAAACTGAGAATATGTAGATAATTTCCAGTTACACATTAATTTGCTCCCACCTTATCTTTTTTACTTTGTAAATATAACAGGGCCTGGTGATGGGTATATATATGCTATTTAAAATTTAATCTTTTTTATTACCAATGTATTTTATGGAGACCTTCATTTTCTACAATAAACAAAAAGTTATTTATATCAGTGTCGTTATTACTACTGCTTGTCTATTTTTATATTCAATATGTACACATTATATAGACCGATCCATTGACAGTGATAATTCTAACTCTGTGGATGACATAGTTTGTGGCTTCCGGTGAGGATACATATTCTGCCACAAATGTAAATATTGGAATTACAGTACACAAACAGTATGTTGTCGTAATTTACCCTAAATACTTTGCACCACCTCACATGGACATGACATGCATGCAGGGACCTGAAGGAAGTACCCAGCAATGGTGGTGCCAATAATAGTGGCCTTGTCTGTTTGGATTTGTCTAAATAATTTGATCAAATAATTTTATTGTTTCATCACCCATCAAAGGGATTACCGGCATTTGCCAAACAAAATAAAAACAAAAAAAATAAAAACAATATTAAGTATAAAATAGAGGGCCTGAAGAGAAAGTAAGGCATGCTAGCATGAAAAAAAGTTTTTTTTGTTTTGTTTTTTTTTGCTCAGCAAATTTTAAGTCAGTGTGCCTGCAAATGCAGGATATAAAACTATTCCCACTCATGTCGGAAGCGATGCTGGGTGCAGCGGTGGCACCAGAAATGCCAACAAGTGGTCCGAACGGAGTGGTCCGAACCAAGGCGATGACGAAGCTTCGGTTGATGACCCTGGAATTTAAAAAATCCCTGTTATGGGGAGAGTATTTATGGCTTAATTTAGTCATGGGTATAAAGGTCCTTAGGACCTTAGCATAGTGACTCCTTATCCCAGAATACAGAGTATTTGTTCTAAAAACCAGCTCTGTATTTTTGTCTTTGTTTAATATCTTCTAAAGTGATTGTGTTAGCGGATATGTAGCTCAAGATAGCTCTCATAGCAATAACATGAATTGAATTAGAAACATACAGTGAGTGTATGTGAAACAATTATACACTTACAAACAAAATTACAACAGCAATATATATTGATATAAATAATAATTTTATTTTGTTTCTGGTAAGTTGTTTATCAATGTAATATGATAGCTACACCTATTTACACATTACATGTCATTCAGACTAAAATTTTCTCCTTACAAAATTTGTTTCCTCAATAATTATGTATTAACTCAAAAACAAGAAACATCAAAATCAAGAAAATTATATGTTAACTCTTATTTATATATGGGGCTTGTCATACCAAAACAAGAAAATTGACCTTTTAATATATTCTCCACATTACAAGCTTTAAAATGATAGGTCATTCACTGGAATCAACTTATTACTGCCAAAGTAAAAGTATTAACAACTTCTCTGTGCTAAAGTATACAATACAGCCACAGTCTTATGCTAATTACTCAGTTCAACAATTAGTGACAGTATGCTGATTTTGGGATGGCTGGCCTCATATATTAATTTAAAATTGCAACACTATCCTTATTATATAGTCTTTAAATTAGCCCAGTATACAATTAATATTTTTATTGTTAAATCTGATATTAGTATTATAAATCACTAAAATCAACCTTTTACATAAAACTATACAGTACATTAACAATGAAAATTAATGTACAATGCATTTCATAGGAAATAAAAGACATTACAAAAATAAATATCAATGAAAGTTGTGCCTATGGTATTACGAACAACAATATAATAACAACACAAATAATAATACAGTAAGAGAAATTATTAAAACAAGTTTTTTTTATTTATTTATTTATTTTGTAGATTTTAAGGAAAATCAATTTTTGTGAGGAGAAAATTGAGTCAACTTACCGAAAACATTATGAAGCACCTAACAAAGTAAAACAATCGAAATGACTATTGCATTTCCATGGGAGCAGATTGATATTTATTTTAACTATTAATTTACATAAGTTCAATAAAAACAAAAATGTTACAATAGAATTCTTTCAGGTGCTTCATTATTTAAAGGTATGCAAGTCTTCCATGCAAGACCACTCATGGCTGGGAATGTACAATGTGGAATACGGAAATAACACAGTGAATCCATTTTGCATGGTTACTTAAGCTTGCATACGATCTTTAACCTCATCCACCTCCACTTCTGTTGAAGCGCGATGATGGTCGATAACCTCCGCCAGCACCACCCATTAAAGGATTGAAATCTGAAATAAAAGCAACAAGAAGCACAAATTAACAAACCTGATCTACAAAAAATGAAATGTTATATCAATCTAATTAAAAGTCTATCCCTTAGTAGTATTTTCAATATTTTGATAAAAAATTTGATTCAATAAATAGTAATAATGGTAATGGATGTAGACTTGTAAAGCACATAATACTAGGTCTATATGCGCTTCCAACAAATGCCCAAAAGAAGTTGAATAAAAGGAACAAAAGAGATGAAGAAGAGACAAAGGAAAGACGGAACAACAAAACAATCAACAATAAAATACTGTAAAACCCCATTTTCAGGTTACCTTAATTATTTGCAATGAAGCTTAAATTTGTGAAACATTGAACAATTCTGTTAAGGCATTAAATTGTTTGGTTTTCCAGAGCAATAGTAAAATATTTGAGCCAAGAGGTTTGAGGTTTGCAACTAAATATAGTTTCTCACCAGTTGGTCTGAACGTTGTTTTAGGTTTTGACTTCTTAGCTGTACTTGCTTTGGTAGATTCTTCTTCCTAATACAACAAAAGAAAACCAAACATTAGTAGGCAGATATACACCTACTCTTTTTAAAACCACGTATGAAGTTAATTTTTGTGTCTAAAGCCATTATGTACATAAGACCAATGCTTTAATATCTTGTTATATAAACTGATATCTTACAATGCACTGTATTATGACATAATCAAGTTATGTAAGACCAGGCTGTAACTGTGCCCAACGGTTGCCTTCTGATGTGATTCTATGAAGAACAAACGTCAAAATGTGCACTTAACGGATCTTTTTTAATGACGATCCGTTCAGACAATCAGCACATGGAGCGGAGTTAGATTTTTCGTACAACTGCCGTACGATGCAGAGAGTGCCCCCGCTTAATATTTTGACTCCTAGCAGAATGGAACCAAAACTTACTTTAGGTCTGTATAGCTTGGACCGGTATGATTTTCCCTCTTTATGATTTTCCCACTCTTCTACTTGCTCCAACCTTTTCTGCTCTTCTTTCTTAAAAAGGTATAAAGAATTTAGGTCATATAAGATAGTATAATACATACTACAAGTATCGAAATGCACACCATCGTGTCGGGACTCAGTTTTTGACATTAATTATGTCATCATCATCTGATGATGACATGATTAATGTTGAAATATTGAATCCCGACACAATGGCATGCATTTTGATACTTGAAGTATGTATTATACTATCTTATCTAAGATTAGTCAGTGGACCTTTCAATTTAGGTCATAGTATGTAACAGTAAAATGAACTAGAACACAAACAATATAATTAAACTGAAAATCAAATACCAAATGCAATAGAAAGATGATATAACAATTATACAGATAAATTATTTATCTGAATATGAAACTTGAGATGAGTTAATCAGTAGTAAGTTTTTGGTATTTTAGACTATGCATGAATTCTTTAAAACAGTGTTTATTTGATAGAAATTGGTTGAGTATTTAATAGCGAAGTTATGAATATTTAATTCATTGGATATCAGCCATTAGGTTTTGAGAAAACAGCTTCCAAAGATTCCAAAAATGAATAACTTATTATTACGATTTGTATTTTAAAAATAATTTTAATTTTTGAGTTAGATTTAGTGATTGGAAATTTCAAGTAATGTTCTTCAATATATTCTTTTATAAAATGCAAAAACATGAAAATATTCAAAATTCTGATTCGCAAACTTTTTTGGTTTGTTGCGGGAAATTATACATTGCGTCAAATAGAGGGTTTTGCCCAAGCCGGTCACATATACCAACCAATGTTCACCTGTTTTTGTTTCTCAGCAATTTCCTTTGCTTTCCTATCATTCTCCTCCTGCATTCTCATCAGAGCCCTTTCCCGCCCTTCTTGACGTTTAAGAGCAGTCTTTGTATCTGAAACAAATATGCCATTAATCAATGAGTATTATTTTTTTTCCCCTTGGAGAATGTGTGCAGTCCATATTATTCATTTGTATGAAATTAATCATTGTGCCCCTTTGTTCCTTTACTATCAGGGGTGGCATCAGTTGAGACGGGGTAATGCATCTTGGTTATAATAACCTGTTACTTGATTATAATATGGATGGATGGCCGTTAACTATAGCTCATGAAGAAAAGGATCTTGGGGTTATTATCACCAGTGACATGAAACCTAGACTGCAATGTACAAAAGCAAGTAAGAAGGCAAGAAATAATCAAACGATCCTTCAAGTATATAGATGTTAATAGTTTTCCAATTTTGTACAAAACTTATGTACGGCCACACCATGAGCATTGCATTCAATCCTGGAATCCTATGTGGAAGAGCGAAATTATGTTATTAGAGAAAGTGCAAATGTGAGGAACCAAGCTAGTACCTGAATTATGAAATCTTAAACTATGAAGATAGACTGAATTCCCTAAATCTGTATAGCCTTGAACAACAAAGACTAAGAGGTGATTTGATTGAAAATTTCAAAATTATAAAAGGTTTTGACAAGATAGATAGAGGCCAGTTTTTCCATCTTCCCCAAGAAAACACAACTAGAGGACATCCTTGGAAAATTTTCAAACCAGTTAAACAAAGCACTTAAGAGTCCAAGTCGACTTCTTTTCTCAACGAGTGATTAACTTTTGGAACAATCTGCCCTTGAGAGTTGTCAGCGCACCAACCACCTCATTGTTTAAAAAGAGTTAGATAGACATTGGCACGTTAAGGGGTCCAAAAGGCTCAGCCTATAAACTTATCCCTTTAACCGTAAATGTCCCTCTCCCCTTAGTCAGGAAGAAAGAGCAGAATTTGTCGAGAAAAAAAAATGTATGTTAAGAAGAATGTGAGACTAAAATCAATTAAATAAGCCTTTTAAATCCCTAATTGCCTAGCCCAACCCACTTATGTTAAATTGCCGGGGAAATAGGCCTTCCCGTCGGGGACATCGGACCCCATGTTGGGTAAATCCTGGTGCCACAAGCGTACTATCATCCAAACAAAAGAGATCGACATCTGCTTATTACTAAGCTAAAAAACATGTACACAATTAAATCATTACCTACCATATTTTATATAATAATCCCGGTCACTCTTTTCCTTCTGCCATTGCGAGATCTGTGGCTGAAACTTGTGTCGTAGGTAAAACAACGCTGCCACAGCTAACAAAATGTACCACCCATATGACACAATAATTTCAGTAACTGAAACAATTATTTAAAAAAAAATATTGTTCAAATAGGCTTATTATGTGTCTATTGAGAGTCTGAAAATTAGTGAAAAAATATTCTGTGTCTCATTGGAACTTACTGGACTGGTACCAGACTCTATAGTATGGCCTGTGTGGGGAATATATCCTACACGCACAAATTTGGCCTAGAAATCCGTCTGCGGATTTCGTAAAATAAGAGCCGATTTCCAAGCAGACTTTTCCAAAAAATTAGGCTTTGACCTATATCTATATCTATATTTATATCTATGCAGTATTTACAAATCGGCGCACCAATTTTCCTAGCAAGTTTATGCTCAAATTGGAGCTGGTTTTTGACATATCATCCGTGCAATTTAAAAACTTTACAGTATGAGTCTTTTTTTAATGAGCACTTTTTTTTTTATTCTTTAGAATATTTCAGAATTTAAAATATCTTTATAGATTTAACACTAAAACTTGGCATTTTTTTTTTCTTCAATACTCCATACAAAGGACACTCACAAGTCATTTTAAATTAGGTACCGCAGTCTGAAAACAATTCTAAAAATAATATATTGTATTTCTTCGAATAAACGCCACCTCCTGAGCCTCATTTGAAATAAACTTCTAGGCCAGGCTACTGTACTGCTGGCTTCTTTGTTTGATAAAAACAAAAGGTCTAGGCCTAGGCCTACTTGATATTTTATTATAATTTTAAGATATCAATAAATAAGTGAAAAAACCTCCAAAAATAAAGTCAATTGGCCTTTAAGTTTATATAGGGAAAATAAGGCTCCACAATTGTATCTAGCTACGACACTACCTAGTTAGGCAGAGAAGCCACTAGACTCACTCAGCAGAGGCCTAGGATAGCAGCTAGCCTAGGGCAGGGCCGCCAGGCTTGGGATCGCTAGCTAGGCTAGTAGGGCTAGGCTAGCCGGATGCCTACCGATATTGAATCCAGAAACCAGAGTTTCGGGTGTTTCATTTACAAGATTCGGATGCTTCACCGGCTCATTTGGAACCTGAATGTCTTGAGACTCTTCGCCTAGAGACATGGCTCTGGTAATCAGTGATTATCACCCTACCACCATAAATATAACACCAAAAATTACGATGACGTGTGGAAAAGGGAAAAATATAAACAATAGATTGAGGGCGCAATAGGTCATGTTTATGCATGATGTCAAAGGTCGTCGGTTTGTTCGTTTCTTTTTTCTAGCTCCAGCCTCCAGCCAGGTGGTACCGTACCGGCGTGTTTTTGTGAAGGTGTATTTTTGCAAGCAGGATACGATAAATTTATCCACTGGTAGGCCTAGCTACTGGTGCAATATTATAATTGGTTGTATTTTTATATGTTATGCGAAAGGGATTATTCTTATTTGCAAGAATGGTATGTATACTTAAATAGATTAGGAATAAAATGTCTCCCTTGGGAGACAGCCTATCTCCTAGGCTGCTGACTGGTGTACTGTTTTGTTTTGGCACGACGAATGATTGACGAGTGAGAATCTAGGCCCCTGAGCCTATTAATAGCCTAGGCCTAGTCACTGACCACACCGAATCATAACGTGTGTTAATAATATCGTCCGCGCACGCCTGTCAGTATTTTTACGTATCGCCCTAACCTAGTCCAAGTAGGTCGTTTTTTTTTTTGTTTGTTTGTTTGTTTTTTTTTTTTTGGAGGTGGTTGGGGAAGACTGGCTATTGTTACACCAGTACAAAATGAAATCCTAACAATGAGTATTGGGTGTTATTGTCCTAATCTAGTACATACATACATACATACAATAACAATTTATTAGCTTTTAGAATTACGAATTTTATTTTAAAACTGGCTTTTTTTTAGTATACTGTAGTTCTAAATACAATAAATTTTGATTAATTAACTAACAACATTTTGCTTCACAGGCAACTTCAGCTAAGCGAGTGAAATTGAGTGGTGAAGAACGCTCTCAAAAGCTAGCAGAATTAATATCTGCAGGATGGAAAGAAGTAGAGGGCAGAGATGCTATTCAAAAAGTTTTCATGTTCAAAAATTTCAATCAGGTAGGCCTATGTTGTTAATCTACAAACAATATAGGAAGTGTATTTTTATATTATAACTGTGACTGGGGTTTCCATCGCCTTTTTAGCAGCTTTGGTCTCTAACTTTAATAATAAACATGGAAAAGAAATTTCTTAATTTAGGAGGACTACTGTGACATTAATAAAGGTAAAGGTAAGAGAATAACCCATAATTTGCAGCGTCATTGTGCTGAATTGCATAGGCGTGGTCTGTGACTACCTAGCAGCCGTAAAGAGGCCGTAATTAGTAGCTTCATGTTTACATCATTCCACAATGACAAGGGCTGAAATGAACCATAACATCGGGGTAACCTGCTACTCTTCCGAAAGATGCAGTGAGTTTTTATACTGCACACAATCTACCAACTGAAGCCTGTATGAGGAGTGGCTGGAACCACTGCCGATGTTACGTTAAGGCTGTAGTTAACGGCGCCTCTGCCTTACCGCTCGACCACTCGATTCATTCATTTTTTTATTTAAGTTATAAATATCCATACTGTATAACAAAAAGCACAAATATAAAAAAAAGGGATAATGATTAATTTTAGGGGTCTTTAGTTAAAGAAAGGGAGACCTGTATTAATTCTATTTTAAGCTCACCACAGGTGGTAACATTGCATTTAAATATTGTTCTATGTTGCACTGGGTTTTATTGTGAATATATATACCTACATATTGTAAAGGTTCTGTTGTTGATTGCTTCCTCTTATGAAAGTAAGATTCTGCCTGACAGTAATAAAAAAATATGGATGCTGGTACAATTTGGAATACAGAAACACAATAAATTATTGGCTTTAATTTATAAAGAGGTGTGATGTATGTCCTGAGAGCAGTATAGGAAAGAGGGTTAAAACTTGAGTGTCTCTTGTTTATTCAATGAAGCTGCTTTCTTGCATAGAGAGTTAAGATTCAAGAAATGGCATTGCTTGGCAGATGAATAAAGAAATATAATAAATAAAGTAACAGTATAATGCCAAAATTTGCAAAAAGAGGACAAGATTAGTATATAATACTAGAAATTGCAAATTGCAAGTGAAGTGCTGTGAAGTACAACTGCATATAAATGTTCTTCGAACAAAATTATTTATGCGAGTCAAGTGAAAATAATGAATAATAAAAATATAACAAATAATACAGTATGAGACACGTGTATGCCAGTCTACAACAAGCGTCGCCTAAATATAATATTTAGCACGCTGAAATAGGCTAGTAAATAAGTTTAACTGGGTTCGTAAATAATATTGGCCTCAAAATATTGTGGCTGAGACATGGGCCGATTAAACGTAGAAATAGGAAACCTGAAATATAGTAAAAAACGCTGAATAAAAAAACGCAGCGTCGCAACATGCGGACGTTGGTACGAGTAGGTTAGTCTACAAACGTCGCCTAAAGTAATTGATTTTACCCGGCAGAACGAAAGAAGGAAACTCCGCTTTTCAGTCATCTTAGGCCATTGTTTTTTGACAAACAATGACCTTTCAGAGGTCAAATTGCTGTCAAGAATATGAATTGGCTGCTTCGCAGCAAAAAACATACATGGCAATTAAAATATAAAGGAAAACTGTAAAATAATGTTTTAAAAGAATAGTAGAACATGAAAACTTGTTTCACAAACACACATGTTTATGTAGGAGGTAAATTTTTTGGTTGGTTTACTTATCATACATCTTCATCTCAATAGGGAGGCGGCCACTACTGAGGCCTTAGAAATCAATCAGCGGTTAACTAGAACCTGAATTTATATTATTGATGTATCGTTTTTTAGGCCTTTGGTTTTATGTCTCGCACCGCCCTACAAGCTGAGAAAATGGACCATCATCCTGAGTGGTTTAATGTATACAACAAGGTGGACGTGACTTTGAGTACACATGATGTGGGTGGCCTGTCGGATAATGATGTTAACCTCGCGAAATTTATGGAAACCGCAGCGGCGTCATTGAAGTAGACCACATCATCATGCTGACATTTTTTTATAATTTATTTTCTTTGTATTAGCAGTTATACCCTTTCATTTTTATTCTGACTGCACCATATCTTTCTATTTATGTTCCTTTAACCGAAGATACTAGATTCAAAGAAAAAAAAAACATGCATCACCGAATTGCATTGTGTGTAATCTGTACTAATGCAAGTTTGTTTATATCCAGTCGTACAACGTGGCCCCATGTACGACTGTATCACGTATGTGTGGATCTGGTCTGGATATAAACTTACGTAAATTGCCATTATTAGAAACGGAAAGGCGCCGGGTACATCTGGATCTACGTAAAATATATGACGTATACGCTTCACTTTTGCTATGCAAAAGTTTTATATTGTTTCTAGTATCTTCGCTTCATTGTTGAAATAAATTATTTTTATCTGAACCTGGTCATAAGCAAGGTTAATTGCTGTTTTTAGTTTCCATATATTTTCATTACTGTATACTAATATAAGACAATCATCCTACGAATCGATGATAAATTACTTGAAGTGTCTTCCAATAATTGCTCTTTATTCATTCAAGTATTTATTAGTGTAATCATCAAAGTTCCATTTAAATGTAAGTGAGCCATGCAGTCAAAAATATGTTCATCATGTATTTGATTATTTCCATTATTGAAATTTGTGGGATAATCGGCAGATGGCATTGTCATCTAATGCTCACGGTGAGGGGCGTTAGATTCGTAGGCTGGCAGTCATATGACCATCGTACGCTGCAGTGAGGCTTTAGAAAACATGTAATGAATAACCAAAAATTTTTTTTAAAAACATTAAAAATTAATGATAAAAATGTGTACCGGTATTTTATCAAAATTTTTAACAACCGAAAGAAATTGCCAAGCCTTAGCAGACAGACATTATTACAAGTTCATTTGACATTAGGAAACATATTTTCTTTTGTACCTTTGTACAATTTTCTTTTGTATATTTTTAGATGAATAAATCTTTCCGGAGGGCAAGTAACTGTCCAGACTATTTAATTGACATATGTGAAATGCCTAAATATGGTCATGATGACATCACATTGTGACTATATATGGGCATACAACAGTTTTTTTGGACAGAGCATTATGTGGTCAGTGGTGAGCTAATAAACATTGAATACAGTGTTTGCTTTATTTGCTCATTGAATTTAAAATTAGAACATAATTTATTTTTCTCCCCAATTTCTTTACCTCAAATAATACTTGATCATTATCACAAGGCAGTATGCATTATGCCAAAAAATATTCTTTTTGGTCCAGGTTGTGGAGTGTGGTAGTGCCAGTAATTGTTTGACGGGTGTGGGGGACGGAACCGGGGCTGATGTCCCCAATGGAATCTGACAATTTAGATATTTTGTAAGGTTCCCCAACGAATTGCTTTGAGCTTCCTGATGGGAGAGACGGGACCCCTGGCATGCCCTCCTACCACCACTAGCAGCACAACCATTGGGACAAGCACATTGATGCTATGCATTGCATCATTTTGTAAAGGGCTCTGGATGGTTGAGTTTTGAAAATCAGCTGAAGCATGAATGCAGCTCATTCCTAAATAGTATCGGTATTGAACACCAGTTAATTTACACCATATTCTACAAGGTGATCCATTGTATCAAGGGACCCGAGTGTTTTATAGTGTACTGTATATAACAGGGTCAAATAAAGTACAGAACATGATCATGCATCAGTCAAGGTTCAAAGGAAGTCTATGGTTGTCATTTCAGATAATGATGTGTACTTTACTGAATTTGAAAGTGGCAGTGATAAATCATTCTACAAACACCACACAAATATTATAGATCAATACTTGCAAGAATTTCATCTAATCTCTAGTTGAATTAGTATACTGTATATGGTTCTTCAATGTAAGTTTCCAAATTTTAATATATCGAAGAACCATTTACATTATATTTATAGATTAAATTGCAAATGTACTGGCGGAATAAACCCCCACCCCCCAAGTATATAGGAGGCTCAGGGATTGAGGGCCAGGCCAGCCTTGTTCCCCACCCCTTTTGGAAAGTAAAATAGAAAAAAAAAAGAAAAAACCGATCGCCTAAAACGCCTCAGAGGTTATTTGTGGGCATCTAGTGAACAGAAATTTCGCAGGGGAATGCCCTGGACCCCTGTAGGGTATACCCCAGTCCATAGTAGTAATCCAAATTCCAATTTTAACTTTCCTTGCATTGTCATTATTGAACTTATATTCCAAAATTTTGGAATACAGTTAACACTAAGTTATGAAATTAATAGATTGACTTATCAACCAACCATACACAATACAGAAATGTATGACACCAAGATAAAGTGATGACAATTAATTTATATTTTGACATATTCTTAACATTGGTAAATGTCCTTATGATATCTTATCAAAGCACAGTCCACAAAATTTGAACATCTTTTGCATTACATTAAATCTGTTCACCTTTACAACTTGTTGCCATTGTCACAGACATAACGTACATATGATGATAACTGATAGTGTTAAACTCAGAACTAGAACGTCCATACCAATCATCTAGAGACCTTACATTTTCATGCATATATTAATGCAAGACAACAAAAAATATGATTGGTCATAGGTGAGCTATGAGATTCCTTTAAAACAAATTGCCTGAAGATTTTAATTACCTTTCTAACTCAAATAGTGTAACAAACATTACGTACAAGATACATAGGATTTGCATACAATCAAATGTCGGTAATGAAATTGTTATTTCCGAGTCTTGATTTAAGCTGAACATATACATAGCTTTAGCTGTTCAGCTTCATTCAGTGGCATGATGTGCATTACTAGTCATTTGATCATTTCCCTTCAACAAACGATCACATGACTGCAGATTGCTGAAGATACCCTTTGGATTGACCACCTGACAAGTATTGTGCATCAATCACTGAATGAAGTTATGTAGTGGAGATGTAGCTTGGTGGTTAAGATGCTTGCCGTTCAATGTCAAGGGGGAAGGTTCTGGGTTCAAATGTCATGAGTAAAAACATCTCCACTACCTAAGCCTCAAAATGATTTATCATGCTATCTCGGTTTCATTTACTGAAGAGGGCCCTGAAAATCAGCTAAGCTGTAAAAGCAGGTAGGGTCACCCTCTATAAATATAGTATAAAAAAACAGTTAAAATTTAATGATCAAGACCGTTACAAATGCTGTATCAGCTTACTTGCTATAAAGTTTCTGATGATGACATAATGTCGAAATATTGAATCCCAACACGATGGCGTGCATTTCAATACTTGGGAGTATGTATTATACTGTACTTTCTTATCTGAGATTAATCAGTGGCCCTTTCGTATGTCAACAAGAATACTGTACATGTACAATTCAACTGTTAGCTCTGCCATGTAGTAACTCCCAACATAGATCAGTGCTTTTGTAGCTCTACTGTATATTCGGTGTTTGCTGCAATAAACCTAGTGTTGAGAGTTGACAGAACTGTGGGTAAGTCCAATGTAAAATTTCATTGTCACTAGTCCCATGCATAAGGTAAAAATGGCCTTGATCAGCAGCAATGACCAGGAGCCAAGACCAGTGGCAAATACAAGAACTCTGAAAAAAAACCCAAAAAACATGTTATTGGAATGAAATTACAGTATGAAATAAGTGCTCTGCTGAGGTATATTTTTAGGTAGGTAAAGGTAGGAGAATAACCCATAACTCGCACTGGATGGATGTTGTCTAAAGACTTATTAAATGTTTCTTCCGAAAAATGGCACACTATTATAAATTGCATTTCAGCCCTCTAGCTGAAATACAAGGAAAGGAGCGATGGGAATTGAACCGGCACACAGTGGCTACCACCTGCCATTGTGATGAATTGCTTATGGACATAGACCCCTAACCTAACCCCCTACTCTTCTGAAAGATACAATGGGTTGTTTAAAGCGCATGCGAGGCAGATGTGTACAACCGAACCTTGGGCGAGGAGTGGATGGAACCAGCGCAGATGTTAAGACTGTAGTTAGTGGTGGCCCTGTCTTACCGCTCGGCCACTTGAATTGCCAACATTCATAAGCTTGCCCTGTAGTAATATTATAGTACAGTCCGAGCCAACTATATTTTACTCTACATGTATCATGGGGTACAAACGTCTTGCTCGATAATGAAAGCGATTAAAATATTAAATATATTTATCATCATAATTATAAATTACAGTATGCAATATTTCAATTCAGAAATATTAAATATAATTAATTGGCAAGTTACTCGTTGTTGAATGTGATTATAAAAAACATTGGGACAATCCTGAAAAAATCCAGATAACTGAAAATCAGCAAGTACTTACTCTATAATTACTGGTTTATAGCAGATAATGCAGAGTAGAGTCAGTACCGCCGGTCGTACAGACTTATTAAGGTCACTACGACTCCAAAGCCAAACTAAAATAGCAGTTGAAATGTGTTGAATCTGAAAAAAAAAATCAAATGGTAGGTTAAGTTCAGTAGTTTAATGCATTTTTTTTTCCCAGTACTTGCTTTTCAATAAACACAATCAGTGACCCAGGGCTAATACTACCGGTCATATTACGTGACTTTATGAAATAGGTGTAGAATGTAGTGCCTTCGATGTAAATACTGAATTTAGGAAAAGAAAATTAAAAGTTAATGAACAACCCAATGACAATGTTGCTTAACATGAGTATAAATTTATATTGATTTTATAAATTTTTTGCTGAATTTGAGGTTATAAAGCGCAGTTATTTCCCTGGTCATTGGGTCCACATGTTGTAAGTGTTGCTGCTGGTAACAGGAGCATGCAACCCCACCCGACACCCATTTATACTCCTGGGTGGAGAGAAACAATGACGATAAAGTGCCTTGCTCAAGGACACAAGTGAAATGCAAAGCGAGGGATTGAAACACTGACGTAAACCATTCCTGCTGCGCTAAACCGATCCATATTGGGCAAATCTTGCAGCAATGCTGATGTACAGAGGCCCACTTATTCAACTCAAAAGACAAACATTTTAAATATATTTACCCTACACTCACCAGATTAATATTTGAATCAAAGCTCATTTGAATATACTTCCAGTCAAATTCTGTCCCACGGGCACCCACCCATAGAGGTAGGAACCGTGTTGACAGTAGTTCAGCGGTGGCCCAGCCTAGCCCAGCTACCATGAACTTCATGTCCCCTCTTCCTGGTATGTTTGTCATTATAAAGTAGATTCCTACAAGGTCTCCAAAATCAACTGTACACTTCATTACTTCCTGTAGATGAAGAAATATGTAAACTAGTAAACATACATTGTTATAAAAAAAAAAAACATATTTATAGAGGGTAACCCTCCAGTATATCCTGGAAGGTTGGCTGATATTCAGAAGCTCTCTTAATACATAAATGAAATAACGTGATGCTTTATTAGTGAAATCTCATTACGACGAGGCTTAAGACTGGCACTCACTGTGTTAGACAGTTGTCGGCCAACGCGACTCCAATAACAACAGGACAAGGCACGCAAGGCGATCGTTATTAATGGCGATCCGTTCAGACTGCCATCGACAATCAGCAGACATGTCACATCGTTCGCTGGGAGCTGAGTTGTATTTGTTGTGCCACAGTCGTACGTCGTAGTGAATGCCCGGCTTTAGGGAGTGGAGATGTTTTTTTTTTAAGTCGTGAAAAACAAAATCCTGTGCTTTTACAGGATTTGAACCCAGGACCCTGGGATTGGAAGGCACCTTAACCATCAAGCTACATCTCCACTACCATATAAAACTAAAATGTTAGGGCTCCTTAAAAATGCCCCACCTAGCCAATGTATGGAAAAAAATGCCGATAAATATCCCGGGGCCCTTTAACCAGTTAGCTCATAGCTGTTACATCACTGGATACCATAAATGTAAGCATTCTTACCCCAACTACATCTAAGTGAGTACTTGATACCTCAGTGGCTGGAAAGAATGTTGCTACTATAAGCATCTGTAGGTTGAACAAGTAACAAAAATGTACAATTAAAATATAGTTTACATTGTAATATTTCTGGTCAGTTATTTCTGTTAGATTTGATACATCATGTACTATCAAAAAATTTAAAAAATGTCCATTTTGTTACTTATATACTGTATTTTAACAAAGTACAGTATGTAGAAACATACTGTGTACTTCCTCGGTTATAATGCCACAATGGAACTAGTCAAATTATAATACAACAGTAGTACTATACTGTATGTTGAGATACAGAACTTACTTTACAAAGTTGTGTGAACAAATATGCAACGCCAGCTTGAACACATTTCCAAAAAGCACTGTATTCAGATCTGAATTAAAAAAGAAATTAAGCATGTTTATAATATTAATATTCCCATGGACAAAAAAACGCTATAATTAACAGTAACACAGTGGAAATACAAGTTGAATTTAAGAACATTTTTACCTACGTTAATAACATAAATTGGCCAGGTTTGGCAATGACTTGTATTTACAGTGTTTATTAATTTAAATCATTATCACTGATTAATGTCATTTCATTTATTTCTCTTCCAGAAGGTGTACAAAAAAAGCGAAAATTAAAAATCAAAAACATATAAATTCCAAAATGTAAATGTGTCGGAACGGGTAAATGTATGAGTAATGCACCTTCCTCCTTTCAAAATTTACGTGGGCCGAGTGTCTATCCCCGGACTACCAAGCATTGCGTAGGCCAGCCTAGGCCTAGGCCATTCATGTTTTGCAAAACGATCATTGTCTGACTGAAGCCAAAATCGTACGTAGGTCAACGTAGACCTAGGATATGGCTGAGATTTGGCATAGGCTAGGCCTAGATAAATCTTCGTAGTTTTAATATTTCAAGGCACCCAAATACAATACTTACAGACCAGAGCACTTGTAGATGAGCAGATGAGGCAAATACGCAAGGGCAAAGCAGTTTCCGAAATGAAAAAGAGTCATTTTTATGAGAAAATATTCTTGACTACAAAAGTCCGACAACACACACAAGACAAACCAAAAAAGCTAGACTGCATGCTCCAGCTACCAGCCAGTCAACCTGATTGGTTTCCACGCTTATACAGAAGGCAAAATACAATGTAAAAATTCAGAATAATTATATTGCCTTTCAAAGACCCTATAATTAAACTGTAATTGTTTGGAATACCGAGTCAGGATTACGATTAGTAATAATGGCACAAACACATTCATATTTGTTTACATTTTTTAAATATATTTTAAAAAGTTATTGCGTGCATCATAGCAACGGCGTTTTATATGAAATCATGGCACTCCAACACCACAAAACGTTTCGTTTAATTACTGTATTACAAAATAGCATATGTATATTCTTGTTTTATTCGTCACGGAGTCATTATCTTCATTATCATCATCACATGATCTACATTTATAACTTTACAATACACATTATAAATAAAATAATTAACAATATGAATAAAAACAGAAACGTTTGACATGCGCTCTTCTTACCATCGTCATTCTTTTTGTTTAGAACTTTTGAAATAGAACTTAATTAAAAAGTATTAATAAAACAACAAAGTTTATGCATTAAAGCTAGATATTTTTTCAACACAGATCACAAACCACAGACTCGATGGCCAGTGGTTATAACACCTGGCTAGTTAATTATCTGGAGGTCGTAGGTTCGATTCCCACCCGAATTACCTGTGTTGGAAACGTATCGTGAGTATTCGCGTCAGGTGGGTACAACATCATTCCTGATGCAAACACATCGAAATTGTACCCGCTGCTAACTTGAGGATTTGATTCAACACTCACTAAACTCACTAAGCTGGGTGGTCTATCTGGACACCAGACTTGTTATGTGGAGGTCGTGGGTTCGAATCACTCGCGGTTTTTTCTCGTGATTCCGCAAGTTTCGGGATCGCACTGAGTATTCAATATGATTAAACGTAGAAACAGTGTAGAAACCTTATTTTATTTTGGTTATATTATTTTAGCTTTTTAAGTTTTTTTTCTCATTTTATTGTGTGTGGGAAATACAGTAAACAAACACAACTTTGTGCTCTGATATTCAAATGTCTTTGTCTGCCTACATTTAAAAAATGCCTGTCTCAGTACCTTTTTTGGTAATTGGTGGTCAGTGTGACATATATCTACTTTTTTCCTATAACCCGGACCATGCTTGTCCATTGGTCACAGAGTGTCTTCTTTCTTCCTAGATGTCTCTACAAGGGGCATAATTTGAAACCGGGCCTTCTGCTGTACCCCTTGATATTGGTCAACATCGTTGAGAATTCGAAACCGGCAGGGAAAGCATCAGATTTGCACTCTTGTGTAGGCCTACATTCGCGGAACAGCAAATATAGGAATCACAAAAAGTAGCCAATCTTAACCATGTCGTTAATTGGGTTTTTTTTTTTTTTGCGCTGAAAGCATGGCCGGCCAGTCAGGCCCGTAGGCAGGATTTTCGATGGGGAGATGCGTTTTGCAACCGAAGAGGACCTTACGATGGGCGACTGCCTATGGATCCCCGCGAGGGTGTGGCGAATCTTCTGGAAGCTCTCACTAGCATTTTGAGGGCTTTTATTAATGGATTTCTAAAATCCATAATTTGTAATATCCTATTTAATTTTTCATTCATTTGAGTATTGTCTAGGAATTTACAGTAAAGCAGGAGATATAAAGTGTGGGGTGAAGGGAGGAACTTGCACAGACAGATGGTCAATACCACCTCGGCCCCACCATGGTTGGGGCTGAGGTAAGAAAATTTATGATTATGGCCCACCTCAAAATGGCCGGAAATGGCACTCTCAGACAAACTTTAATTATGATTTTTCTTTTTTCTCCATTTCTTTTATAATTTTAGGGGGATCTCCCCTCTTGAATCCACCACTGTGAAATTGGAATTTTTCATGTTCTTTACATTTTGTAGGCCTACAGATGACATGGATCAATCTGCAATCACTGATAGCAGATTTCGTAGCACATTATTATAAATCAACGGGTAAAGAGCGTAAAATGTAATCCATACTATAGCATTTCGCGATAATTAGGAACGATTTTAGTGAAATAATACCGGTAGGTTTTTAAAAAAGTAGACTTTTTGAAATTTGGTGGTCCAGGGGGCAGAGGCCTGGAGGGGGTTTGTGAAAAGCGACAAAGTAGCATTTTGAAGGTCTTACAATAGATTTCTCAAACACATAACTCATGAATATAAATTTTCATTAATTTGGGTGTTTTTGGGACCTGAAAAAGTAGCGTTATTATGTCCTGTACATCTGCAGGCCTATAGATAACATTCTTCATATTATAGATCAATCTGCAATCACCGGAGACGATCAATTTCTAACAAATTTCTACCACATTATTAAAAATCAGTGGTTAGATAAGCTAGCAAATATATAATGCAATGCACGCTAAAGCATTTTATGATAATTAGAAACGATTTTGTGAAATCATAGGTTTTAAAAAGTGGACCTTTTGGAATTGGGAGGGGGGTGCGTCCGCACCCTCTGCACCCCCCCCCCTTCCGCCTACGGGCCTGCCAGTGTTGCAAACCACGCTCAACAACATGAGGCCTACAGATGTTTACTACGAACATTTCCTTACGTTTGCTGTCAGAATTTCAATGGTATAAATTCAATTTAATTCAGTCACATTTAATTTCCAGAAAAATGTCCTCAAGACATGCTTCAGCCAAGTGGAGTGTTAAAGAGTACGGTAACAAGCTACAGTACTATCAATAGTCCTATATAAAAACTATTTATTTTGCAAACATTGGGCCTATAGTACATAAACATTGAACAAAATTACTGAGCAGAGAATTGAAGTAATGTAACGGTAAGGACTATGGATGGAATGTTGGAGCATCCGAGCAAAGAAGCATGTTTCTTAATAGACCTATAATACAAGTCAAGTAAATAATTTACTTTCTAAATATCATCCAACGATTAATTAGTACTGGGTGCCGTGATAGGCTTGTTTGGTTGCATTTTTCTTTTCGTCGCATTCGAATTAGCGCCGTATCGGAGTTGGTAGTCTTCCATGATTTTGATTAGTCTTTTCGGGTTGTCTTAAAAATTTGGACGAGGTAGGCCTAGCATCTTGGACACTATATTTCACGAATGAGACAAATTAATTGTTCAGTAGGCCCTATTCCAAAAAGACCTAAGTCGTCCTACAGTATATAACAACGTGCTGGTCTGTTTCTACTTCATCATGATAAGTAATGGTATTTCTTATCATTTCTTATTTTAGACTATTTTCTTCGGCCTATCTTTCTGAGTCCTAAACCAATTGTTGATATTCCTTTTTAGAAAAGTGAGAGAGGGACAAAATGGCATTGCTAATCAAATCATTGCGATTCAACTGGGAAGTAAAATATAAGGCCTTAGAGACATGCCTAACAACAATTAAAGTATTGTCTTAAATAATAAAATACTTTACTTTAGTAGACCTACGTTAGGTCATTCGACCAATTTAATGGAAAAATAATTAGGTGTGCACTTATTGGCTTTTTGTTTTTCATTATAAACGAAAATATAGGCCTTTTAAAAACTAATTTCCTTCGCTGATATTATGACTACCCTCGATATCTCATTGTTCATTTTAACCAACCAATAGGAAAGCTCCATTATCATGATCCCTATGACATCACTGACGTAAAATGTATCTCGACCAAACGTAGCACGACGCGGCGCCTTCTACGTGACACGTCGATGAAGACGCCTAGTACTAAAGATAAATTTTCGGCCTTTCTGCACACGCGTGTTGCTTAGGCAAAACTGAGACCAGAGGCTTAAACAAATTAGCGGATAGGAAAACAATATATGAATATATTTGTGTGAAATTATATTGTAAATATGAATCGTTGTGTCAAGAAATCGACAGCTATATTAAATAACCTTAGGTAAGTACATTTGAAAATTTTAATTAACTTTATGTGGTTACATTTAGGATGCAACCGCAGCCGTCTCGATCGATAAGTATGGTTGTAATGGAAGTAGCAGAAGTGAGCACGGGAAAGACAGAACTGAGGAAAAGTCCACTGCAAACTATGAATATAACTTAATTTAACTAAATTAATTAAGAGTTTAATTGTGTGTAAGCAGATTTTACTGAAGACCATGGAGAGTGATCTAAGCAGGGGAAACGGGTAGAGAGTAAGTACTAATTGGTGGTGTTTGGTTGTGGTGTAGTGGTACTCTAGATATTATTAGATTACTTTGTTTGTATGAGCGGGCGACTTGGTTTTGATAATACTATATTTGTATAGGCCTAAATATATTATGATTGTTTCAGTATGTATTCGATTGATTGTATTAAGGGGTGGGGGACCGATAAACAATGTATTACAACAAACCCGTCACATCTCCCAACACATGCAATCGGCTGAATGATGGAAAATTACTGTACTGTGTCGTGACCTTCTTCGGACCGTAAACAATGGATAAGCTATTAATTGGTCATCCGTGTCTAAAAGTCAAAATATTTTTTTTTATTTCATTTTTTTTCTTGGATTAGTCAAGTCTGTCAGGTATTGAAGTGAAGGTATATAAATATAAAATAAAATATGGAAACTAGCTACGGTTTTTTTTAGATCATTATATAGGCCTAGCCAAGGTTGAGTATGGAAATTTCCATTGGAATGCTGACATATAAAAGAACCCTTGAAAATGTAGACTGCTACATTTTCTTAAAAAGGGGTGTACACAGTTAAGATGTGGTAGACTTAAAATTTAAAACTGTAAATAACAAAAATACCACCAGTTTTTTTTAAGCTAATGCGGTGAACTAATTCTTTAGTCACTTCATGAAGTTTACATGAATTTAAAAAAAATGTTGCTATCTGTCAGACCAATACATTCAACTCTCATTCTTTAAATCAAACTCCCTGATCGAAAGCGATGCCATAAACTTACATTTTCATCCCATCGTTGAATAACTCTGTCTGGGATCACAAGCCACTTGGAGGAATCCAGCCCATTCGTCATTAAACCATGTTCGTTTTACGCCAGTTAGGGGTTCAAAACTTTTATTAAGACCAAGAACATTCACTAAACTATTTAATTTTGAAAAGATTGTATATATGAATTGTATTAAGTGTTTAGACAATCATTTAATATTTTATTAGCATGTTTAACAATGTCGTTCTAGAAATATAAATGAAATTCTACCTTTTAAAAATTATGAATGGTATTGCCTTTATTTTTATTTAAACCGAGATTAGACGAAAAAAGGCACAGATTAAAGAGATTCTTTATAGAATTATTATTCTTTTTTAGTACGGTAGTTAGTATTAACTTCTTTTTTCCTGATTTAAAAGTAATTGGTTTTAGTTTCAAAAAGACCATATTATTTTCACTACAATTAAGTTTGAATTATGAATGAATTCAGAATATTAATGTAAATAGTACAGCATCAGAAAATTCAAGATATAATTGTGTAATTCTGCTACTGTATTAACGATTGAGAAAATTGTTGTGTTGGCACTCTGCAATACTGCCCTCTATATAAGATTTTGGTTGAATGTTGGAGTCATGTGTTTGAGTAATGTGTCTGAGCTGAGTTTATTTACAAGTATGATTGTTTTTATACATTTAAAATCCTAACTACACTACAACAAGAGGCTTGAAAGAAAAAAATCTAGCCAATAATATGTAAATATTGCATACCATTTTTTGTCTTTTTGTACGCAGGTACAAAATTTGAGTTATGTTTTTTGAATGGTAAATAGAATGACACAAACTACTAATAATATTGCCATAGAGACACAGGACGCATAGCCTACCTTCACTCTTCACAGATAAATCAATTTAACACCAAAAAAAACCCAGATTATTATGTACAATTTTGTATACAAGACTGGCATCTGTTAAGCTGTCCAACATACCCATTTTTTGCATTTTTACAGTTCTTTTTTTCAATTATAATATCTTTTTAGAATATGTTTGCATTATTTTAAACAAATATTGTTTATTGTGTATTTTTATCAATTTTCATTGTTTTTTTTCCTTTTTTTTTTTTTTTAGTGAAATGGGAACTAAAAAGTTTCGTTATATTAGAACATTTTATTAGAGGCCTTTAAAGAATAAAAATTTCTTAGTGTTTCATTGATCATGTGAAATAATGTTTATGTGGGGAGATTTTATAGTTCAATTGAGAATAGGAATAATGTGTGAATTTGACATTAACCTCTGAAACTATGAAGTTGACCTACATGTAGACATTTGAAGAATGTTTCTATGTTTCTTAACTGTACATAACTAATAATAATAATAATAGATGGATTTATATAGCGCAGCAAATAACAAGGTCTCTATGCGCTCGGGACTAGATGTTGTACTTTTCAATAACTTTCTCCTCCTCTGAGGGTCACTTTATGACCTCTGCAGCCAGTAAACCGCCGTACTTTCATCTGTCCATGACAGGGCCGAGTGAACCAGTACACCGGGGTAACCTACTCATCTCGAAAGATGTACTGGGGTTCTTTAAAGTGCACATGAGCATTTGTGTACACTGGGCCTACGGTTTATAGTCCTTATCCGAGAAGACTTGCTCCACAACTATAGGAGCGAGCCGGCCACGAACCGGTGCCGATATTATTGGCTATGATCACGGTGCCCATGCCTTAACCGCTCGGCCATTTTCACTGCTCTAAACTACTCTAGGGTCCACTCTTATTGAAATTTTTATAACAATTACTATAATTCTTAGTCGTATATACCTAGTTCTGTCCTAGGAGTCACTGATTTTACTGATTCCTGTCTGATATATTCGCCAACTTTGCTGACTCATTTGAGCCTAAAGGAAATGATACAGTGACACGCACACCATAATGTATAAAAAAAGTTCTAGAACATACTGTGCTGCTACTGTATCTAGTTTCACTTGGGAACTTACAGACAAAACAGACGCAATTTCATTATTTTTTCTATTGTTTTCTACTGGAAAAGTAAAACCCATGCAGAAAAAGAAAACCCTTACCCTGTATAGGGGTAATGATTCCGCAGCTCTTCCATTGTTTGCTTGCAGTACAGTTTTCTGTTTTCATCACAAGGAAGTTTCATTGGTGTTGCAACTCAGTCTTTGATCCAGGGTCCACCTGAAGTCACATTTGGTGTCGCAAAATTTATCATGATTTTATCAAGTTGCATCGGAAAATGGAGGTCAGGGGTTCAACCTCATGCTGTGTATTTCTCTTATGCCCTTTGGCAAGGTACTTTGGTTGTCTATTCCAACCCAAGAGTATATGTTTGGTACCTGGACAGTAGATTTAAATGTCAGTTCTTTGTCGATGATCTGAGTACCGGTGTTATATCCAATGAGTATGGTAATTACTGTAATTATAAACTGCATAGATGCCTTGTTGACATGATGCGTTGACGCGACTAACAATTGACATACAGTAAGGCCTATTATTTTTTAAAAACCTTTTTTTTTCCCCAGATTTTCAAGGCATTAATTATTATTTTTATAAAGAGATAATGCATTCTCCCTTAATAAATACAGGCCTCAGAGGGAAAAAGATTATATGTTGTACAAGTTATATTTATAAGATGCAAAAAGGGTGAAAACTAGGAAAAAAGGGTGTATTAAGCCGCATTTACAGCAGACACGATTATGACAAGACAACGACATATCATCGTGTAGTTTTTATTCGTCAACATCGCGTGCATCTGTATCATGTCGTTTTCGTGTTGTAAATGTGGATTTAGACGTAAAATCACCCTTTTCCTCTAGTTTTTGAATGTTCAAAAATCCATAACTTTGTTCCTGAGTTTTTCGTCAAAAATCCTTTTTGTGTCTTTGAAAAATAAATTGTACAACATCAAAATTTGTGTTTACCTCTTGAGCCAATAAAGGATCAGTGTGGGCTCTGTCTCTTATACACATCTAGATGTGTATAAGAGACAGGCTTATTGGTGCTAATAGATAAATGTGTTCCACATTGTAATCTAGGCCCTAGGCATTTTCTTTCTTGGTATATTACATGTGCAAAGAACAAAAGCAAAAACTACAGCTTATGCAGAAATTCTCAATGTCGTGGCACCGGTAAAACAAGAATACCGAGTGAATGACTGATGGAGTCAACCGTCAATCTGTGAATTCATCAAAATTCAGTTACTTTTTCTTAAATAATAGCATACAGCTATTCTACTATGCAGAAAACTACTGACGCACCACTCAATTTTATAACAGGAAAATGAGAACATTTCTATATAAGTTCTCTGACTTGGGGATTCAATGGGGGTGTGGTCATTTTTTTCAAAATTTTCTTAGAAATTAAATTGTTAATATGGCCGGCAGGTGGTGGGGGGTGGGATTGGTTGTTCACATCATAGGTTGTTCACATCAGAGCAAAATCTTGTATTCATAGAAAACTACAGTAAATCCAATTATTAAACCAAGTTATTGGCAAGATGTTGATTTGTTACATCATCTATTTGGAAGCTCTTCCCTTTGTCACCATGGAAACTCAGGTAATAAATACCCTTAATGCACTTATCTGTATGGTTTGCTACATTTCTGTTGTCTACACTGATTAATATTGGTATGAAAATTTTGTTTTAAGTTTGACATCTTAATTTTTCAGTTTAAAGTGTCATGTGACATTTCAGAAAAAAAAAGTTATATCTGAGAAATTAATATTGATTTGAAATGGCTCTTTACAACCTTCTATCATCAAGTTTTCTCACACTTCAATTATATATTGGTAATATTAATTATTAATAATACAGACAAAAATGATAACTTCTTAGTCTTATAGAATACCTGGCTAATGAATACTTGTATATTCAGCACTTTTGCATTATTGTCATGGCATATTGTAAGAGAGCCACTTTCAAACATAAATGCTTCAAAATTTTGAAAACTAGCAGTGTACACCAACAACAGTACTGTTTCAACCAACAGATTTTGTTGTAATACAACTAATATTTCGAAAAAAAAGAGAAGAGATTTGAATATCCCATGTATATGGAAACAGCTTGGCCAATTAAGAGCTGATCACAAACATGAAAAATAAACCTGCTGTTCCAAAGAAGACATGCATACAGAGGTAGACAAAAGATCTGGAATAGTTTGGCCAAAGATGTACTATAAATTGTCCTTTATAGTTGAGCATGCTAAACTTTCTAGCATTTGAAATACTATTAACCATGTCTGTTTTTTTGTCATCAGAAACAAATCTATCCTGCCTCCAATTTTGCCGAACATCTTGGAGGCTGTCGGCAATACACCAATGGTACAGCTCAACAAGATTCCAGCATCAGAAGGCGTTTCTTGCCAAATTCGTAAGTTTTTTTTGTTTTTTTTGTGTAAATTCCTGTTTTATGGAAAGTATCTAAAGCTCCGTTCACATAGGACTTTAATTGTACAAACTAAACATGCACATGATCAACTTGAATTTTTTTTAAAAATGCAGTGTGAGCAGCCTGCATTTCATTTCATTTCTAGTATACATTTTTTATAATAGTACATAAGGTAATTTAAAAGTCGATTACATAAAGAAGAGGGCAAAAGCCTGAAATGCAAAGGCTTTTGGGTGGTATGCCCAAAACAGAACAGAAAAAAAACCAAAAAAAAAAACAAAAAACGGGTTACATTCATAGATAGGACAATAAGGCAAAAACTGATCACTATCAATGAAAAGATGAATAACAGTGCAATTAGGATTTAGTAATTTAGCTTTTCTTTGATACAGTTTTTGTTTATGTTTTCAGGTAAGTTGTACTAAAGTTTAGGTCCGGTAAATCTAATATTGTGTTAAAAGGAAGTTTTTTTAGGGAGAAGAATATGTAGGTCAAGAAACGTTCTAGTGCGATAGGTATGATAATAGGAGTTAGGACGGAAATAATTGGGTGGTATAAAGAGAAGAGTAAATAAAGTTACATTGCTGATATTTATTTATGTCATTTGATTTTAATAAGTTGAGGGAATTAAACAAAGGATCAGTGTGGGCTCGTGGTGGTGCACCTGACGAATTGCCTTTTTCTGCTTTTTGAAAAGACTTTTTCAATGTTAGTGTTACACCAATCTATGTTGCAATAATTAGGATATGGGAGGATGAGATTTCATTTACAATAAAGAATGCAAAGGATATTGGGAGGAATAAAAGAGGACAGCCTAAAAATAATACCCATATTTTTGGAGATTTTATTCTCAATTTCTTTAATGTGTGTTTTCCATGATAGCCAGGAATCTATATTAATGCCAAAGAATTTAGTGTGTTCTACTATTGGGATTAATTGCTCGTTTTTGACGTTGGCAGAGAGTTTGTTAGCTGAGAAATAATTAGATACATTGGTTTAGTTGATGAGATTGGGAAGATTGAGGTTTATATTAAGCGGTGAGGGGAAGAAAAAAAAAACTTTTACAGGTACTGTAAAAATGATTAAATATTATATAATGCATGATGCAGAAAAAGCAGAAAAACAAAATATTAAAAGCATGTATTTAAACAAATAAACATTTAAACATGCAAAGCAAACAAAATTTAAAAAGCAATGATCATGATTGACAAGGCCGATGGGATCAGCAAGCATAGAAAAATTAAAAAGCTGAAAAGAAAGTTTGATGAAAAAGTCAACTATGAAAAAAACAGTTAAGTATTTACTTCCCTTTATGATGTTTCGTCTTAGATCTTATTAAGATTCGATGAGCATCGAATAATTTGTTTAGCCTCTTTCCCCTTTGACAGTCGTCGCGTAAATCTGTCCATCATAATTTCCCTCTTGGTCAAATTACCAAATCTGTGCATTAAGTTCAACTATTTAAGTCAAGCAACTAATGCCGAAGAATAATAATTAGGCTGGTTACCAGGAGCAGAATCATCCAATGCGAACAAAGTTTTAGAAAAACTTGTGTGTTTGGTACTTAAGGAAGAGCAGAGCTGTGGCAAATAACTGGCATCAAGTCTTGATAACAAAAAAACTTGACAATTTGATTATTGAAGCGAAGCTCGCATCGGAGGGCTTCACGCCTTAAATTGCTGATAAATGTTGCGGTGTTGGTTCGGCTTAGGTTTCAAGAGTTCTGTGAGTCTAGGTTCAGGGTATAATTTCTTGTCTGTTTCCTTTCGTTTTTGTCAAGCGCCTAAGGTTGGTTCAACGGAGGCACTATACGAATCGCAAATTGTATTATTAACGCTTAGAATCAGGATTGTTTTTCTCTAAGTTTTGTTGATAATTTCACACCTGGTTTTATTTAAATGGTAACCTAATGGTTTATTAATCACAGCTTGAAAACTGGTCTTTCCTGACATCGTACAAGTATTTTGTGCTCCTACTTATTATTTATCATTTGTTATACAGTTGGAAAATGTGAGTATCTGAGCTTTGGAGGGAGTGTAAAGGATAGAATGGGAATTCGGATGATAGAAGAAGCAGAAAGAGAGGGAAAGCTGAAACCAGGCTATACTGTCATTGAACCAACATCAGGAAATACAGGTTGGTGTGTACACATTTTTTACCAGAGAGATTGATTTCAGTAGGGGTGGAGGTGGATGTGCTATCATTGAGGGTTTGAGTATGGGGCCAACTGATTTCTAGTCTCTACCCAGGAGTTAATTGATTACCTGGGAGTGATGGTCGGTGGGGGGGGGGGTATGCTGTCTGACAGGGGTCTGACAGTTTCTATCTTGGACCAGCGGGTCCAATAAGACTAGGTGTAGAGGTGAAGATGTGGTTAGGTCCAGTTAAAAAAAAAAGGTTTTTTTATGTTCTGAGATGTTTTCTTTTTCTTGTCTGACAAATTGTGGTCAACAGGGACTTATGGCCTCAGTGGCACTGCCGCTGAAAATGGTTACATGTTAAAAATACTAAATATTTATAGAAAATTGTGTAAGATTACACAATATAGATATTTACTATCATTTAGAAATATAAATATTTAGTATTTTGTACATTTACATTTTCTTTGATATCCATTTTAAAAGGGACTTGCCCACACTGGCTCCAGTACATGCCTGTTTCTCTCACTTTGGCATTCAGATAATCTGATAATCTTCTGTAATCATTGTAGGTATCGCTGTTGCATTGGTGTGTGCTGTAAAGGGCTACCGATGTGTTATTGTGATGCCAAAGCGCATGAGTCAAGAGAAAGCCGACATGATCACCGGCCTCGGTGCCGAGATTGTAAAAACCACTGGCACTGGATTTGAGGATGAGGACTCGCACTTCTCTGTTGCTAGGAAACTAAACAATGAAATTCCAAACTCCATCGTTCTTGATCAGTACACCAGTTCAGCTAACACATTGGAGCATTATGACTCCACTGCTGAGGAAATTTGGGCCCAATGCAATGGTAAGAACCAAGCACATTATTTTATAATATAAAATTGAACTACGACCTACCTGAGTCTTTTTACATTTCTGAGTCTCCTGCGAGTTACAAGTCACCTGGAAATTAGGACCTGAAAAATAGCTATTATATAGGGCATAGTTTTTTTTTTTTGTTTTTTTTATAGCAATCGACCATATATCCAAATATCAATGTGCTTGAGCAGTGCAATTTTTTATTTTGCCTTAAGTGATGTTATATTTGGTTTTATGTAGGTAAGCTGTCAATGGTTGTTGCTGGCTCAGGAACTGGTGGAACATTGACAGGTATTGGAAGAAAGCTGAAGGAAAAAGATCCCAATATCAAGGTATGATAACAAATCTGTACACTATGAAAAATAAACTATACTACATGTACACGATTATAATACCCTTCCCAAAGAGCCCTGCCCACCTTCAATACAGTACACTGCCAGGCATGCCCTGTAGATCCACAACCACCCAAAACCGACCATTGTCGTCTTCTCTCCGAATTTCCCGCGAACGAACGATCGAACCAACGAAAAGGTCAATTTTTTTCACCTATAGGTCATGAATAACACAGTATTGCATTGCAGCTGAAAAGTGTACCACAAAATATTAGTTTTCTGAACACCAACCCTATAACGAATGCGTGTTAAAACATATTTTTTTTAACGTATTCCTAACCGTGTTCTTGTGTTTTGGCTTGTTTCTGTTGGGGGAGGGAGGGAACATGTTTTTTAAATAACTGTTTAAAAACACATATATTTTCGCTCAGCAGAAACAGGTCCTTTGATCACATTTCTGTTTATCATTATTAATTTTATTGTTATGTTGTTATTATTTTTTTTTTATTATTGTATTAATTATTAATTTGAGAAAACATTTGTTAATTTTCTGTATAGATAATTGGTGTTGATCCTGAGGGGTCTCTTGTGGCATTGCCCGATTCCTTGAATGTTCTACGAGGGAAGAAGCACGAGGTGGAAGGAATGGGTCATGACTTCACTCCTACTGCTCTCGACCAGAACGTGATTGATGCTTGGTATAAATGTGACGACAAGGAATCATTCCAGATGGCAAGACGGATAATCAGAGAAGAGGGCTTGCTTGTAGGTAAGTGAATAAAAGTCCAGTTTCAGAGAAGAGTGCCTCCTTGTAGCTTAGCAAAATTAATCGTTTTTCTACCGATTTGTTGATGAGCATAATTATAATTTTGTCCAATGAACAATAAGAATGAATGACCTTGAGGTATAGGTGTTCCTTATATTTGATGAAAAACTAGGGAGCGGTTAATGTATTATTGATTTTTGAATGGAAGAGGAGGTATAAAGGGGCGTAACCACCACTTTCCCCCAGTTTTTAAATATCTATTTCATTGACCGTGCCTGAGTTTTTCGTCACACATTTCGTGTCTTAGAAAAATTAGTATTTCAACAATTTTTTTATCCTCCGAAGCCAGCCTTTAATCTAATCATGTACAACCATTAGATATAGTTAACACCTCTCTACTTTAAATTATTTAATCTATTTATAATGACCAGGACAGTGCCAGTGATGATGATGATGTTTCCTATTTTGTATTTTGCAGGTGGTAGCAGTGGATCCATCCTTGCTGGTGCCTTACACTTCGCAAAGGATTTAAAACCTGATGAGAGGTGTGTCGTTATATTGCCAGATTCTATCAGAAACTACATGTAAGTTAAGCCCCGCCCAGACTCAAATTTTGTTTGACAAAAACATGTGACATGCCTAAATATGGTCATGATGACATCACATCATGACCATATATAGGCACATCATGACTATATCTGGGCATACAACAGTTTCCTGTCGAAGAAAATTTTATACTGTGGATCCAGAGCTTTAAACAACTATCAGCTGCGGCTTTTGTTTTGGTTCATTTACTTGATTAAAAGATGACTGATTTCAAATACAAGTGCTCGGTTTCAATCAGAATGAGCAGTAAATTGATTCTTCATAGTCGTATTAATATACCTGTAACAATTTGTTACATTAATTTCAGTGACATAGGGAATTGCATTTTCTGTCATTTATTTTATTTACTTTAATTTTAAATAATGTTTTTGTTTAATTTGTTAACAGGAGCAAGTTCTTGTCTGATGGATGGATGGAGGAAAGAGGGTATTTGTAAACAATCAAAAATCAATTATCTTTCTTTCCCCTTTCAGTATTAATAATGCTAAACATGTCAATATCTAGTTTAATGACTATGTTACATAAACTTGTTTTTATATTTCTAATATTAGGCATAATGTGGCATGATTAAAATTGATAATGTTTCAATATTCGTCCTTCATATCTTGTCTTCTTAGTTGATAGATATAAAAATATGTTTTTTATAAGTACTTGGAATTTGTGTGTATGAAAACCACTAGATCCAGATACTATTATCGTGTGTGTGTGTATAAATGCTTACCACTGATGACAAACTAGTTTTGTTGCTCTCTCTGGCTGTTTACTTTTTAGCTTTTGGTTATCAATTTTTGTATCACAAATGATGCAGCTATTATTTCCTACAGCAAACCAACACCATCAGTATAATTTTGTTCTATGTAAGTTAAGGTGTTAAAAGTTTTGTTATGGTGTATTTAATTTAATTGTTTGATTTTTTCTGTTAAGTGTGATTGCACCGTGTGCTGCCACTAATGCAAAGGTAAAATGTCATTTTTATAAACAATGCAGGGGAAAATTCTGCACTACAATCAAGTTTTATGTTAAAAATATTTGTGATGTGCCTAATGGGTGGTTATGATGAAGATCAGAAAGATCCAAAATTGGCCTAAAACTATTTGCCTTTCATTTAAAAAGGTGTTTTTTTTAAATATATCATAAGGTCACTTAGACATCCTAATTATATATATATGTACAAATACAGCAGGTTTGAAGTCTAGTTTTCCAAAGGCAGTTTTGATATTAGCCTATGTTATGCTTCTTACTGTATGTAAACACCAAAGGCAGCTTTGAATATTATGTTCATCTTACTGTGTGTAAACACTGCCCTCTGGGTTTAGATGACATACTTTCAGTAAACAAACCAAAACAAGTTGACTAATAATAGGTCTAACTGTATTCTTTAATATTTTTTTCTTTATTTTTTTTTAACATCTAGAAATTCAAAATAGAGGGGACCCAGGGAGGAAAGTTTACAGATTGGAGACCTTAACCACATTATATGTGGGGCTGAGGTACACAATTGTATGTCTATGTAACATTTAGATGGCAAGTGGCACTTGCAAACTTCAAAAAAAATGTTCAAAAATTTTCTTGGTCTTTGTTGTTGTGTTGAAAATACTGGTAGCAGCCTCAGTCGTACCCTGTAACATGAGTGCGGTACTCATCTGTATCAGTCAACATGCTGAAAAGACAATCATTTGGCTGTTTAAATTATTATTCAAGATGCATTTGTCATAAATAATATACAATGATTATATCAATTATTTCAATCTTATATAACGATTACACCTTATTCTGGAATATGTTGTTAGTGGCCTTATTATTTAAGTATATGTGAACTTGTAAATATTCGTAGTTGCATGTTGCGCTTACATAAATAACAGGGTGCCTAAAATTGTTTTTGTTGGGTTAAATTTTTTATTTTGGTAAGTATTTCATCCTAAACTGTACAAATATATGAGCTTTCAATGGCAATTATAGCAAGGTTGATCATATTAATATCATGGTGTCATAATCTAAGACAAAAATTAAAAACATTGGACTGCCATTCTGCCAAGACACACCCATACGTGAACTTGTATTAGGCAGTCTCCTGTCCGTTCTGATTTTTTGCAAGGTTAATCAATGGAGATGGAACTTCATAGAATTAAAAACTTATTTTTGTAATTGTCATACAATATTCAATAAAAATGATCAAAGTACTGTCCTACTTATTGTTTTTCGTGTTTGTGTGTAAACCTACATTACTCCTGGCTTTTCTCAATATAGCCCCAGAGTTGTCCTGTCGATGTGCAATGGTCTTTGTGGGACCGTTTGCAGAGTACAATCGGAATCTGACTCTTTAGCCCGCTTCCCAAACTTTTTTCTCTGGGTCTCATGTTGTAATCTTCCACAGTAGCCACAACCTATGTATTAATTTGATAGTAAATTGCACATCTACCAATGTAAAAGCCCCAAAATGTGATGCTCTGTGTTTTGAAAATGAATACTTGATGGTATTACAGCAATTTGAATTTACTTCCCATTAAATGTGCAGATGTGCAGACAACCTGATTTTAGTTCCTTGCATGTTTTTCAGCCAATGTATTGTAACATTGTAATGTTCTACATTAGCTGGCAATAGTAGGTACACTGTTGCTACGTTAGCTGTTGAGCGTTCTACAAGTTGGGGTTGATTTTCTTTTTACTACAGGTATAAGCTGTTGGGGTTTCTACATTAGCGGGGAGTGTGCTACACTAACGGTTGTTATACTACTTAGCTGCTGTTCTCTACATTAGCGGTTATTCAGGCAGATTTGAATTCATCATTCTTGAATTAGGGTAAATTACGTATCTGCGGACTTTTACTCAAAAAGATGCCCCTAGAAGTGAGAAAAAAAAACCAAAACTAAACAAATATATATGTGTTTTTCACACATATTAGTTTTTTTTCCCATATATAAGTGCAGTTGGAACATTCTGTTCAAAATTATCTGAGCGTTCCCAAATTTGTCAGGCCTCGCAATAAAATTGTCAAAGATAATGCGCTCACTGTCCTAATAATGTAGGCCTATGTTATGCACTGTAAAATGTCTACATGCAGGATCTGGTACGAGATTTTTTTAATGTATAAATGTTTAAATGAATAAAACAATAATCATTTATTTTACATTAATCTTAAACATTTATTCAAGTGCTATAAAAAGAAAAACCTAGAAACGTGAAGCCGAGCCGAGAGTCTCCAAGCCGATCGAGTATTTGTTAATAACCGACCGGGTAATAACTGACATTTTAAACAGGGAAGGCGCCAGGATTTGCCCGACCCGGGGGGGGGGGTGTTTTCCCCGACGAAAGTAAAGTGGGCGTGGCCGGTGGAGCTTCGATAAAAAGGTTTCGAAAGTGGTCCTGAAAATTTTGACAATGTAGGGGTTTCAAAGGCTTATTTAATCGATTTTATAGTCTACTAATATGCAGGAAATACATATAATTTTTTCTTCACCCCGACGAGTTGTGCTTTTTCTCCCCGACAGGGGGCCCTCCGCTGGCGCCACCCCTGATTTTAAAGTGCTCAGTAAAATATAAACTACAGTATTTCTCTAATCGAGTGCTAAGCCTATATTACATGTCAATCAGTAGTAATACATGTAGGCTATGTATTTAATATTTCTAACAAATTCACAAGCATTATCTGATCCTGACGGCAGCCATTCTTTAAGACCAGTTTATCGTGAAATCTATGAAATGAATCAATGCTAAATTTCACAACTTCTGTTGTTGCCTCATCGTGTCGTTTAGTGGTGCAAAAGCCGCCAGTACTCCTCGTCAGAGTGGAGGATGTTCAGCTTGGAGCAGCTACTTTCTTATGACAAAAATATAAAGCACATTCGATACTTATTGAATGGTGTTTCTTATTTATGGGATTAACCATTAAACAATATCAACAATTATATACTATATTAGTTTTATATACTTAAGCAAAATAAAATGAAATAGATCACACATGATCATGTAAAACAACTATCAAATATCTATCAAATAAACATGGCCGCACACCTTTTAACAAATATCGTTCACTTAGAAACAAATGTACGAGTAAAATTTTAAAATCCAAATCAGATTATTTTTTATCAGTTGAAAACAAATATAAGCACGATAATAATAATACAGTAATAATAATAATAATAATAATAATA